GGCGATCACTATCATGGCTATATTCGTCTCGTATTGGGCCATTGTGTATCTTTATACGTGCGAATCGTTGTGATAGTCAGAATCAGAGATCCGATACAGGTTGTCGAGGGGGAAGCCGCCACCAGCCGTGTCGGCGGGCGATGCCCCGCGGGCCGCAACCCCGCCCGCCCTCAACTCAATCCATACGTACGATCATGCACTCGTGCATACACTATTTACTTCACGTGCGGAGGCGGTCCTTGATGACTTGCTCAACTTTGCGTAAATAAATTTCTTGTCCTCATATTAGCATCTATGATCCAGCAGTCAACATTCTCGCGCTTGGCTTCGCGACAGTCGGCTTCTTGTTTCTCGCTGATAAATCCAGACGCGATAGCCTGCACGATGGCTCACTAGCATCTCATCCTGGCGCACCGATTTTGACTATCGGAGTGCGTATCATGCAAAGTCTTACTTTCGGCTGGGTCCTCTGGAATCGATAAATTCAGTGGACATGGGAAAAGAACTCACCGGTTCGAGGGTGATAAGACTCGCCAAATATTAGTGATCGAAGTGAGTGGTGTTAGAACGCACGTACTGAAACATCCAACAGGCCTTGCAAATTCCCACAATCTTTACTACATACATATCACGAAGCAGTGATATATGAAAGCATCGATCCGATTGCGATATATGAATCAAGCACGATAGGAGGGCTTCATTTCTCAATTTGATGTTAACCTCCTGTCCGTCTATACCCTATAGCAAGACCACTTGTCCCATCCACCATCGCACCAAGCATATACGTTGCTGCCGTACTGCCTCGTACATGCTGCAGGAGTGTCGACATTCAAGCTTACACCGACGCCCCAGCCTTCAGCTGAGCATCGCCAGTCGTTGCATGAATTTCCGACCCGGCCAGCAGTCAAAGGCGCATCATACTGCTCACGGCAGGCTCGGGGCATGTCTATGCCGCCGAGTCTCTGGCCAGCTGCCGCTGCAGCAGCTGCTGGGGCGACGAGCGCTGCTGGGGCGCCAGATGCTGGCACGGCAAGGAGGCCGAAGCTGATGATGGCACCGAGAACTGTAGTGTGGGTGACCATATTGCTGACTGTACACGAGCGAGTTGAAGTCAGTAATCAGAGAGATAGGTTTCTATGTCTCAATTGGGGGAAAGGGAAGATCTCAGTACTGCAACATACCTAGGTATTCGATGAAGACTGATGCGAACAGGTAGATTGTGTCTGGGTCTTGAAATTTGTAGAATTGTTGCTGTGTGCTCGGTGAGTGGGTGACTATAGACGGGAGCTATTCAAGGTGAAGAAGGGTAGTTTTTATAGTAATTTGCTCCTGCTTCGACCATGCGCCTTCATGTAGGTCGTCCAGGCATATTGATTACTAGCCACGTCACAGCTGTCGACCAGATCATCTTACTTGTACGCCAGACGTTGGAAGGGAGGGGAAGGGGGTGGGTCTATAATCGTTTATGCTACTATGCGGCGCAGCTTGGTGTAGCCGAAGTAGTGATAAGCAGTCGCAAACATATGTGGCAAGGCTCTGGAACTTAGAGCATCTTGTCTTCCAAATTCGGACGTTATACATCTACCACTATGGGCCCGCATCACCTATTAACTCTTTCTAGTCCCCTTACGCACCCCGCCCTGAGCCCCATCCCTTCCATTAGTCCGCGCACATTCTAGCCTTCTGCTACCAAACAGTGCACATACGAAAAATTGGCGTATGTCATCAGTCTTGCCAACTTTGTGTGGAAGTCTTGCTTACGTTCGCGTTCTTCAAATTTGGAAACGCGACAAACCGGAATGAAGGCTGCGAATGAAGACTCGCCAAGTAACCCATACAGAACGCGTGAGAGTGAATGTGTTTTAGCACCCGAAAGACCTTGCACAGTCCTCCTTGAACACGGATCATGAAAGAATTGGACGTAAAACCATCAACTCGAAAGCGACATGTCAGCCACAAACGACAGGAAGAAAGTGAATTTATATATTTCCGTCTATGCCTTGTAGCAACCCCAACTGAGCGCATCTCCATTGCACCGAGCATACACTCCAGCACCATATTGATTAACGCATGCCCGAGGAGTGTTGATACCCGTCTGGAAATTAGTGTACGCATCCCAGCACTTCCAACCGTTGCATGTACTATCAAACCGAAGAGCTCTCCACTGAGGTCCAATTTCCTTAATACAATAGGCGTCCATGTTAATGCCCTAAATCATCGATGTACGAAGTTAGTGTCTGTCTCATCAAGATTGCTTCCATGGGAGAATTTACCCCTAGGTATTCACCTGCTGCTGCTGCGGCAGTGGCTGGTTCAGCAATGGATGCAGGAGCAGCAAGGGCTACAGGATCGGCAACTGCTGCTGGAGCAGCAACTGTTGGCGCCGCGAAGAGACCGAAGCTGATGATTGCGCGGATAATAGTGGTGTGAGTGACCATGTTGGCGGGTGCGTTCTAAGTAAAATTAGCCATCGTAAAGGTGAGCGTATATCATTGAAGTTCATGTATCGTAGATCGTGCTAAAGGAAGAAAATCGTTACTATGACATACTTGATGAAGATCGCTGAGGACAGGCGTATTTTATCTAGCTCTTTCAATTTATGAAGGGTCTGTTGCGTATTACAAGAATGAATGGGGATGGGGAAGAGCTGTTCGAGATGAAGAAGAGCCGTTCTTATAGCAATTCCTTCATCTTTGAACACACGCTTCTATTAGGTCGTCAGGGCGTAAGGCGTATTCTTTGTCGCCCGGTTCAAAGTATTGGACGAGGCTATCCTCATCGCAGGCTAGAGTTCTAGGGCGTAAGCTGAAGTGACATAGACCGGCATGCAATGCAGTCCGGTGGAGTTCCGTTCATGCTGACATGCACCATAGCTTAGAAAAGACAGGTGAGTCTATTGACAAGCGGCCCGATCCTACGTAGCGAGTCTGCTGGAGCTAGATGCACTTTGTAGTAGATAGTATCGAGACAGGACTGCTTATCTATCTGCTCTGGGCTTTGGCGTTGACAAAGTGTCGAGCCTAGACGGAGGTGAACTCAGATGGGGAAGGTCTGAGGTTAGGCCCTCCGTAGGATTCGAGTGCGGGGCCAGCCGAGCACGCAGGGACTTACATACTAAGCGTAGGATTGGTTCTGTTAAATAGACTTTTCTGTCGATGTTAGCGAAGGCTGGTGAAGGATGCTCACTACAGCATCGTTTAAGGTTTGTGGTTAGGAAGTGTGTCGCTTGCAAGGGAAAACCCACCAATCGTTGTTTGGGTCGCGACCTTACAGTAAATCTCTGAAAATCTTCATATGTCGCGCAAACAGAAGCGGACAGACTCCAATGACAGGCCACGTTTGAAGTCATCGCTAGGTTTCCATGTGTATCTCGTAGTGATGCAGAACGAAAGAAACCCCACGATGAAATTCGCAGGAGAAATTGTGGTTTGCCGCTCGGACTGAAATCATCCGTCAAACAAGCAGATACGATTCTTTCTGCTCAATAAGTCTGTGCTGCCTCATGTATTACTCGAACTGATTGCGGCTAGGATCGGGCGCAGCGTATCCTCTCCTGAAAAGGAAGCTCTGCAGTCTATCCTCAACTCTCGCAAACTACAATTCCGTTAGCCTCAAAGACATTATTTGCGACTCCGTTAGGTCACGATTTAGGATGCGCTCTCTGAGCTGAAGCACTTACAAAGCCCCGTCCCTGTACTCCATCTCTGACCCATACTCCATATCCACCCATGAGGTTTGCCATCATAACGTCCGTGGACAGGCGATCTCCTACTATTGCAATTTGATCTGGTCTGGTCACACCAGAGTCTGGATGTGCCCTAAAGTAAGCCATGACCTCTTCCTTACAGCCAGGCTTCTTGGTGGTATGTCGCAACACTTTGACACCGGTGTTGGCCTCCAAGACATCGGCCTGGGCATAATCCTTATCGGATGATGTGCCAGCTGTGTTGGACACTATCAAGAGTTTTGAGCCTGGATAAGCGCGTCGCAGGCGCTGGAAATGATCCTAAAATGGTGATTAGTAACGTTCTGGGTCGGGAAAGGCGCGTAGTAGTACTTCATATGGCTTGTGAATCTCATCGGTATGTGGGACAGCAAAACAATTGTCTTTGTCGAGCACTACAGCTTGGATGTCTACCTCTTTCTGCTCGTTGACCCCATCCTTCCTAAAGGCTTTCGACAGGGGAATGGGTAGATGATTGAATGTTGAGACTGTATGCTGCGGGAGACAAAGAGTCGGATTCCAAATCAGCCGGAAGACGTTTAAAGTGCCCGAGATGTTCATTTGGGATGCAGCGTGGTATGATTGCGATGGTGGAACTGGATGGTGACGCGCTTGTTGCGCGCTGCTTTTCCAGGGATGTTATTTCCGACGGTTCCGATGTCGTTCCGAGCAACTATCGAGACCGACCGCTGCAATCAGTACCAGCGAGCTCCGCTTAGCCTGCTTATACGTTTATTCAATCGAAGATACAGAGTGGTATTAGTGTTATTAGTGTTCAACAGAGCTCTGGCACTTTTCGCTGCGCTGCTGTGGAGCGTACGGCTATGTCATGGAGAGGAGAGAATCTGGTATCATAGACATGACAAATATATACTGAAACACATGACAACGTGCTATATGAGATGGACGCAACTTGATAGGGTGTAGCTTGAACAGACATCGAGTTCTTGATGAGGAGCAGGCAGCAGAGAGGGATGGCATGATGACTAAGACATGGTCCAAGCTCAACCTCAACTTTCTGTAGACAGCGATATTAGCACCGCGCACGCGCTCTGCACCCACGACACCCGAGACTGCGCCGTGCACTGTTACCGACGACTCCTGCGTACCGAGAAGGCGACGAAACCCACGAAACACAATCGCGCCCCGATCGCGATTTGCGACCACGACACGAAGTCTTCACTTGTTGCGATCTACCACCATCCTACGGCTTCGAACGCGCGAAGGACTCAACTAGTAACACCAGTCAAATTGGACGAGAATCAATACAAGCAAAATGACGAGCACTATCGGCATCCCAATCAAGCTCCTCAACGAGGCAGCAGTACGTTCACCGTCAATGACTCTACCAGTACTTGAGCCTGCGCTAACAGGTCCCAGGGTCACATTGTCACACTTGAAATCACATCTGGCGAAGTCTACCGCGGCAAGCTGATTGAAGGTACGTCCCCATATCTCTCTTAGCTCTTAGGCGCTATGCTAACCAGCTACAGCCGAGGACAACATGAACGTACAGCTGAAAGACATCACTGTAACCGCCCGCGACGGCCGCGTCTCACATCTCGAACAAGTATACATTCGAGGAAGCCATGTGCGATACTTCATCGTTCCAGACATGTTGAGGTAAGACTTATGCCTTATTGGAAGGAGACAGGCACTGACAGGTCACAGGAACGCACCCATGTTCCGATCGAGAGGCACAAGGGGCCGCGGTGTCGGTCTTGCGCGTGGAAGGGCCACAGTCAACAGGGCCAGGGCCAGCACTCGCGGCGGTGGTCGCTGAACGAGCCGAAAGTTACGGGCGAAAAGACAACATAAGCAGAGAGCATGCTACCGGAAGCGAAGCAGCAGCGAGGACGCGCCATTTGGTGCCAGGACTAGACAACGGAGGGAAGGACAGGTATGCAACCAGATCGTTCTTGCTGGACATACGCTGAAAATTGGGATAGCCACAAATTTGATGATACCTTTGAATGGGATGAATGCACATTTTCACATCACCAAGAGTAGCGCGTGTTGAAAGAATGTCCGGCGGCATTTGAAGTGAAAACGCAACAGGGCGTAGTCGCGAATGTCTGATAGTCCCTGCGGCAGGCGGGCGCCTACCCCACGTCCAAAGGCGAGACCCCCGAGAACTCCGCAACTCGACACTTTTTCAACCAACACAACATGGACATGGAGATCAAGAACCCACGGCGCATCCTCGCTATCGGTGCGCCGGGAGCAGGTGTACTCCCGCTGCTGAAGGGTACCTGATACACCCTCTGCATTACGCGCATCTACTGACTCGGCTTAGAACTCACAGGGTCCGCCCCAGAGCAAACCTCGGAAACCACGGCCGGCCTTACCCACGAATGGCGTCTCGAGACCAAATACTACACCGCGAATCTCCCTATATGGGTTGATGAGCTCAGCAACGTCGCGGAATGGCGCACCGAATTCACCAAACCAGAAGCTCGCGAGGTCGTCACCGCGCTCGGTGCGTGGATATACTGCTTCAAGAAGCCAGTCGAAGCAAAGGATCTGGAAGTGATCAAAGACACCATGCAGGCCGTTTCCGATGTCATCGAGCGTGCCTGTGGATACGGTGGTGACATGGTGTGTTTGGCTGTCGCGATGCCGCAATCCATAACACCATACCTTGAGAAAAGCAATGAAGACTGGGAAGAACTAGCCATGGACTACGGTTTTGAATACGTCGACTCAGAGAAGAAGGGCAAGAACGAGTTTGGCGAGGCGACAGGAATAAACAGAGTACGGGAAGCGCTTGAGGCTGGGGAATGGGAAAGCATGGCGGGTTTGGACTTGGGCGAAGATGACGACGGCTTTGAAGGCAGCTTTGCGGCGGAAGAAGCGGAGATGAACATGGAGCTGTTTGGTATGAAAGGTGCGCTAGCCGGGTTCGACGACGACGAAGGCCAGGAACCTGGAGACAAAGAGGTCGAAGACCTGGAGGTCATGATGCAAAAGATGGTTGCGATTAAGGAAATGGGCGAGGGCATGGAAGAGGCCGAGCGAAAACGTTTCGCTGCAAAGGCAGTGAACGACCTGCTGAAAGATCTATGATACGGACATATCTGGACTGCCACAGACACTGCCGAGCACTATCGTAAATGCCTACCTACCAGCGACTATTTCAACTCTTCACCCCGAAACACAACAAAAACGGGAAATCCATCTCTCTCGCCGGCTTCCCATCCTCAGCATCAACCTCCTTCCGCAGAACAAAGGCTTCGTCAACCCTCACCTCATTAAACCCTGTCCCTAACAATAACTCTTCCATCTCGCTTTTCTTAATCCCATGCCTCTCTACACCCGGCCTCTTACTTATCGGATGAAACGGTACGGCCTCCGGTCCAAAGTCCTCATAATCCGTTAACGCGACCATACCTCCAGGCTTCAAGCACTTGTGCATAGTCGCAAGGATCTCCGCCATCGAAGGGATATGATGTAGCGTCAAGTGAGAAACCACAAGATCAAATCGGTACGAATAAGGCGGCGATGGAGCCTCTCCTCGATGGGTAGCAAGGAGCGCTGCTGCGCTTTGCAGTTCATGCGAGTCCGGGTTCGTTAGGAAGTGGTTCACTGAACAGAGATTTGGGTGGTCTGTTGGAAGATCCGCAAGCTTGGTGTCGAAGGCGCTTATCATGCCATCTGCTGTGTCGACGCCGATGAGGCTGCGTACGTGTGGAGCTAGCATGAAGGAAAGCAGGCCAGTTCCGCACCCAATTTCTAGGACGTCGAGATCTGTGATGCTCGTCAGTTCAAGAGCGTAGTGGGATGGCGGCATGATAATACCTTTGTTGCTTCCATCTTTGAATGCGGGCACATAGCGCTTGATGGCCTCGAGTGCTTTTGAAGTTGACTCTACGTGTTTCTCATTCGAATCCCATTCTAGTGCTTCTTTGCTGAAGCGCGCGTTGTTGATCTCTTGACTAGTTGTCATGACGTTGGTGATGTGAAAGTTAAAGGTTATGTGCTTTCGAGGAAGGACTGAAAGGTACTAGTAGCAGTCGTGCATGAACAGTTGTAAAGCAATGCTGGGGTGTGTCGTGATTGATACGAATATGTCATTGTGTATACGTAGAATGTTGTGCGGGGTTTGCGGGCATGATGCGGGGCGCTTCCGTCCTGGGGATGACCGACAGTCGCGACTTCCTGTAATCGTGTCGCGGGACACAAACAATCAATATCCGCCTTATTCCCCCCGCATCCTTGTAGAACTTTCCGATTCGCTAACTGCAGTCCCATCACTGCAAAACCAGCAGCCGGGATTCTCGAGAGCTCGGCCTTGACGTGGGAGAGGCTGTGCAGCGATGCCTTCCTCGGGCGATTGCACTGGCTGCTTTTCAGCCAATTCTTTACTTCCCCGCTCTTTCCTCTCACCTCTCCTCAGTATCTCAGATATACGTACCGCGTGAAGATAACAGGGATATCGGTGTCTAAGCCTCTTCACACTAAGATGATCAAATGAGAAACTTCAGCTTGTTGCGATACAGCACCAGTACCATCACACGAAAGAGCTTGGGAAGAGATGGCAGCCTTGGGCTACACACAGCTGGATCGAAGCAAAAGGGCTATTCGTCTCCTCACGGTAGCGCCTGGTGGCCCCGACGATCAGATTCAGTGCCAACTCACGCATGCTGATCTCGACGAGCGACCTTCGTTTATCGCCTTATCGTATACATGGGATCAAGGCGGCGGACAAGACGAAATCCAATGCTGCGGGCACGTTGTCCAGGTCGGCAAGAATCTATGTAACTTCCTCCATCGCTTCCGAGTTTGGGATGAAGGTCGCGGAAGTCGGCTATGGATCGATGCGTTGTGTATGTATTATATGCGATGTGCAGATAACTGTTGGTTGACTGATATGGAAAGGTATCAACCAGCACGATATTCACGAGCGCAATCATCAAGTCGGCCAAATGCGCGCGTTGTTCTCCACCGCCGCATCCACCATTGCATGGTTAGGCGAATCGGATGGCAACTCTGATCTAGTCTACTACGCCATACTATTATCCGCTCCACGACAGTCCCTTGGCCTTAACAATTTTGGGACACGCAGAGCGCTGAGAGATCTTCTGAATCGAAAGTACTGGTCACGCGTTTGGGTCATACAAGAATTCCTTTTGCCTGTGAAGTTGGATGTGTGGTGGGGCAGATGCCGTGTCAAAGCCAGCGACCTACATCAGCTTGTTTGGGCTATGACTGGATTCTCCTCGCGTAGCAAACCGCAAGACTATCACGTATGGAACACGCCTGGGAGGGTTCTGTTGCTTTACAGGACGAACTATCAAACAATGTGTCGTTTCGAAAAACACGACTACTGTAAGGAATTTGCGGACGCAATGACACTACAGTCCCTATTACGATCTTTTTCCTCATCTCAGTGCACGCTTATCCACGACAGAGTGTACGCTCTACTGGGAATAGCAAGCGATGTCATATATTCATCTGACCCAATTTCACCGGACTACACCAAATCGCCCACGGAGCTGTCCATGGACGTGCTACGGAGCCAGTACGGAAATCAAATTCCTGGAGTTAAACGTGCATGGATCTCGATCGAACTACTTTGTAGTGTGCTTGGATTGACCCGTCGGGAGATTGAACAATCTGCTTTCGTGAGAGCTCGGAAGATCGAACGAGAAACTCGCGCTCTGGACCTCAGTCATCACTCCGCCCTATGTTTCGATTGGGTCTCGCCCGTTCCCTTGCCGGAAATAAGCACGCCTCGTTCCAAGCATCACTTCTACAACATCGTCAGACTAATGGAAAGGGAGCCGGGTTGTTTGACGGCACTACAGGATTACCTCGATTACTCCAAGCAGCGTAAGCCACTGGGACAACGTCCCAAATGGGAATCCATCTCGATGTTGCTTGGCAAGGATATGTCCACCGTTGGCCGGGCTGATATTCGACCCTGGACCAACATGTCTGGGTTGACGATGGTACCATTCGATGATCACAGAGAGAAATGCGCTACAGATCAATCTTACGATTATCTGACCGAGTCTATATGCGAACAGTTTTACAACAGCACGTGGATACCATTCTTCGAAACAACAGTGATGGGATTCATGAGAAGAGCTATCAATAGACCCTGTGACACGGGACACGGACCCTGTAAAAGCCATTGTCCAATTGTTGCATCTTATCGCTGGTTTGGAAGATATGGGTCTGCAATAGTGTGGGAATGCCCTGGAAATCCAGTTCATGAAGTTGATGCGTCTTGCGATACTAGTTTGCAAGACTGGTGTGTAACAGGTACCGCTTTCATTTGTAAGTGGGAGGCAGATCGATCTCACCATTGAAGCATGCGATCCTTCGCACATACACCTTAGGATTTAGCATAGTGGAGACTTGATGGGAAGACAAGATTGTTAGTGGACAGGTACGGTAAGGAAGCAAAACACACCGTCTCATGACTGTGCGCCAAAGCTGATTGAATATGGTGAAACTTCAAACCATCACTCAAGTATCGTTCACACACTCGTCTCTCTTCAAATTAATCATAATCCCCAGCAAACCCACGCCCACTCCTCCCAAAAAGCGCTTCAATCGCCGCCGTAGCCTGCAACTGCGCATGCGTCTCCTTAACCTTCTCCTTCTCCCGTTCCAACCTCCTCACTTTCTCCTTCTCCCTCTCCAACTCACGCTCCTTCTCTCGTCGTAGCTTTCTGAGTTTCTCATGCTCGATATCACTATACTTGGCCCGTTCGTAGTCCCTCAACTTCTCCACTCGCTCACGATCGCGCTCCTTCTCACGCTCCAAATCACGCAGGCGGTCGATGTCTAGCGAGGAGAGTTGACTAGTGACATCGTGGACGCTGCGCCACGGGTCTGGTGTGGATGCACGACCGAGGAGAAGTGGCGAACGGCGACCAAGGGTCAATGGGTGGGCGGAGTAGCTCATGGAGCGCTCGGTGAGCAGCCTGGGCGGTTCATGCGGTAGGAATGTAGACCAGCTGTACCAACCGGCAGCTTTGAGTTCGGCACGAGCTTTGTTGACGTCGTTCTCCAGCGCTCCACTGGAATCGATGGCGTCGAGAAAGCGCATGCGGTGGGAGCTCTGTTGACTCTCAAGCTTGATCAGGTTAGGCGGCTCAATGGTGGTGAGGCTGATTGACGTAGTGTGGTACTCTGGGTTCGAAGTGTTTGGCGCTCGGACGAGGAACTTTCGCGCCCAGTCCTTCAGATCAGAGTCTGGCTCATAGCCTTTATAGATCTCGTTGAGCACGGCTACGGGGTCTTCGTTGAGGATGCCATATGCGTTCATTCGATCGAGAGCATAGCTCTTGCAGTCTTCGAAGCCCATCAATGTACCCAGCTTGGCGAACTGTACATCAGTCAGAACGCAGGCTTCACTGGTCGTTGCTTGGGGTTTGATGATGGGTGGGCCTCGACGTTCGATGCCCAAACCTGCTGCCGCGGCGGCGAATGGGCGTGGGTCAGGCCGGTAGGAGCCAGTGTGCAGAAACTCCAGGAAGCGGACGAAGGTGTCTTTAGAAACCTCCTTGTGTACCTTCAGAAAGCGGCTACCCGCCTTTTCAAATGCCCTCACCACGCTCAGAGACTCTTCAATCTTGTCTCCATCAACGAGGACAGGCTTGTCTTTATACATGAACTCGACCGACTTTGCAGAAGGTCTAAGACGTGCACGGTGTCTCGTCTCGAGCTCATGACGCCGCTCATTGTACGTTTGGACTTCCGGCTCGCGGACGCACTTGGGCTGGTCGAACAGCGGCTTGCAAACCTTCCCGTACCACTTCTGCACTTCGCTCTCGGATGGCCCCTGCACGATGCTATGGCAGTGGCTGCAATACCATCGCTCCCGGTCCTCACGCTCAACTACTTCTCTCCTTCTTGGACTGTAATATTCCTCGGCAATGTAGCGAATGTTGGAAGGGCCATGTCCATAGTTGAGAGGCGACAACTCCCTCCCGTGCACAGCGGAGAGCTTTTTAATGGTAAATATGATCTTACCGAAATGCACGCCATGATCCAAGCGTCCATAGTCCACCTCGTCTTCTTTCTGTGCGCCGCAAGCGACCAGAAGGTATGCGTGTATCATGTGATGGATCAGAACAGCGACGATGTCTTTCGCCTTGGCGTATTCGAGCGCGTCCAGATTCAAGACGATAGAGATACGCTTGACCTCAGGATTTGGTCCTAGTCTGTGGGTGTAGGTGGCACCTGAGACGTCGGTACCCAGGGTGTCAAAATCGAGGAAGACTGCATTTTTCAGATGACCGGCAAAGAGTACTTCATCGAGCTTGTTGAAGATACGATATGGGATCTCCTGGACCAGCCCGTCCCTTTCAAGTGTCGCAGCCCGTATCCGTATATTCTTCAATTTCTCGGCTGTGTCAGCCCAATTCTGTTCCAATCGATCAACGATAAATGCGACTGCCCAATCAATGTTCCACCCAAGATTCCTGTCGCACCTGAGGAAGGGATCTTGAAGTCGGACAGCGACGCTCGATAGCGGTGGACGATAATCATTAGGCTCGAAAGGGATGTAGAGATCTGATTCTGAATCAGAGGGGTAGGACTTTGATCGAGCAAGCGCTGCTCCGCCAAAGAAACGATCACCATACGGCAACAACGCATATTGATCGGGAGAGCCGAGCGTCATTGAGTAGTGAGAGTGATGTGAAGGTCCGAGAGTCTTGGCAAAAGGTCAAAGAATCAAGAATTGATCGAACCTCTGCGGGAGGGTAGTTCCATTGCTGTTTTATAGTTGGGTCGAGCGGGAGGCCGAAGCGGATGATGGCTGCTTCCAGCCGGCGCGACGTAGTCGTTGGCGGCAGCTTCTCCGTTCGGAGAGTCAGCATGGAGCACGAATCATTGTTGATGCGAACGTAATGCAAACGCTATCACGTATTGTTTGTCATGGGCAAGCCAAAGATCTGGGTCGGGGTTCGTTGGGCTACGGGCCAAGTGGTATACCATTGGGTCGATACTGGAAACCCGAAGGTTTACTTTGATCTGACAGCTGCGCGCGCCATGCCCATGGGCCAAGGTCGCGTGGTACCATGTAGGCGAACGTAACGCAAGGTTGCAAAACACTGGCTGCTGGAACGGATGTGCTGGCGCTGGTAGGTGGGCGGCTTTCGGCGCCGCTTCTCACTCAGCCTAACAAGTGTCAGTACTAACGGAGACATGCCTTGTGGGGATTAGATGCGAGGACGACATGATGGAGTTGACACGGGTCGAAGGCTAGGTGAAAATAGTAGTATTTATTTAGCGAAGAGCGCAACGAACGCCAGTCGCGGCTCCAATGATCGAGCAGGAAAACAGATGGGATATACAGAGCACGTAAAGGGGAGCGAAAATGAAAGCGCACTAGATGGTGAAGCGCCTGACTGGTAGCCGAATATCGTTCCCCGAGTTTGTCGTAACACATGAACAAAGACGGGTGATGCCTCATTCTTAGCCGCTGGGGTTGCCACGGCTGATCGGTATATAACAGCGAACAGGAATCCGGACTATCGCGCTGTCATTACCAGCCCTGACATTTAGTAGCGTGGGCGGTCGTCAGGACGACCGTACTCGTCGACAGGCCTTCCGCTGACGGAGCCAGGACGCGAACCAGGGCGCGAGCCAGGGCGCGAACTGGGACCCACACTCCTGCCGCTGCCGTCGCCGTAGTGCTTTCGCCTGAGAGCGGCTAACCTCTTCTTCTTGGTGTGCGCGTTGATGTAGGTGCCGATGATGAAACCGACAATGTTAAAGAAAGGCACCCAGGTGGTCTCGGGCAGGAACTGCTGGGCGAATGCCAGCGAGATGGGCGAGACGATCCAGCTGACCTTCATGACAGGCCAGAAACCGGCCCTGACGGTCGCCTTGACTTGGTGGAAGGTGCGCGCGCCCGCGATAAGGGCCATGGAGACGAGGTAGACGCTGTTCTGGATGGGCGAGATCTGCAACTGTTAGCGACGTGCTGACGATTGATGGCCGTTCGGGTCAGGACTCACGATCAAGTTGCTGAAGAGAATCTGCAGGACCTTGGCCTTCAAGCTCTTGCGCCCCTGGAAGACCTTCTGGAGAGCGCTAATCAAGACGTGTCCAAGGGGCGCGCTGATCAAGGCACCGTAGATGGCCATCTTGGGAACACGCGAGGTGAAGTAGTGGCCCGACTTGCTCCTGTCGTGGGCGATCCACGATGCGAGGAACTCTTGGAGACCAGAGAGGGTGCCCGATGTCAGCATCTTGGTGCGCAATGGGTTGCTCTGCAGCTGCTTCAGGTAGGCCTGGCGCGCGTGCCGTCAGTGAAGGGCTCGTCACATGTTTCGTCGCACAAGACTCACAGCGAGATATCCATTGGGACCGCCGCCTTTGGTGAGGGCCTGGCCGAGCTCGTGCATGAGGTCGCCATCCTTGACTTTGCTCGCAGCATCGGCAACGGCGGCCGTCGCCTTAGTCGTCGTCTCCTTCTCGAATTTGACCGACATGGCGCCTCAATGCGATGCGACAGCAGCAGACAGCGGATGGGCGCGTGTGGGAGATGGGGCTGCGGTCGACGAGGTGTTTTGTGGGGGAGGGTTGACGAGCTGGCCAGGCGTCGGGATGGCTGGGGATGAAGTGTAAACACCTCGGACGACTTGGGTGCTCCGTGCTGCTAGCGCCGAGCCCAAGATGCGGAAGCGCGTGGTCTGGCACAACAACACGACCTCGGTTTCGGCTATGGGTAAGGACGATAGTGCTCAGCCAACTTCCTCAGTTCCAGCCTGCGATACCTGCAGACTCTTTTGAGGAATGCTGATGAAGCTGGGCCACACGGCATGCCGAGGGCGCGTTCGCCTGATGCTTTTGGCGGATGGCAGCGCGTCGGAAGCCGCCGCCAGCACTTGTTTGCACCGAGCCAGCTCGAGAGTCGCTCCCACGGCTCATTACAGGCTCTGCACCCAGCGACAATCGTGATTTACGTGGGCGATGGCGAGTACAGTCATGCGCAGGGTTCATCGCGGTAGGGGACCCTTACGCTGTCGTTGTCGATCGTGAAGTGATTTCCCTGAGCTCTTATCGCTGACTGATCCTGGTCCCTTCAAAAGCCGACGACATCATCACCAGCCCTCGTGTGAGCAATATTCTCATGGAATGTGCACCGAAGGGGTAAGACATCAAACCGGTCCTCCATGATTTAGACGTAGCCGTGAGTTAGCACCTACACGTTCAGATAACATGCGTCGAGGTGCCACAATGTTGGATTAGACACATTGTTTGTACGACCCCAAACTTCTTCGTAAACGCCATCGCCTCTCATTTCCTACCCCTCACATGGCATCACGTCCTGGCATTCCACCTGGCCTGATCTCGCCCCGCATGGCCTTCTTCGCTCACCGTGGCTTTCTTTTCTTTGTCCTGCTCCAAAGCGTCGTCAAAGCGCTTTCGTTCATTTCATTTCGTCGTTTGTATTGCGAGACAACAACAACAAACAGTCAAGGCACGTGCAAAGACCGTCAGAGGGCTTCAACATTGGTAAAATCGGGTACCTACGAGGTCAGGCCAAACCCGCAACGTGCAAAGCCGCCAAGTGGAGCATGGCCAGCGGGTGACAACTCGTGTGAACGGCCGTTTCCAAAAGACTTAATTGGTTTCGACTGCCCTCTTCCTTCCGTCTTGCTAAAAAAATTACGAGTTGATTAGAGACGACTTACCGAGGTCGCTCTTGCTACGCCGCCGCTGTCTTAGGGTCCACGCCTTCACTCACTCCTCGCAGTCTAGCGTGAGTGCACCTGCCCTGTCATTGTCTCGGAACAGCAACTGCAACTGCCACGCTCTTCCGGCCGCCCACCTTTGGTCCTCCTTTCTGCGGATCAATTGTCGCGTGTGTCCCCTCCTGGCGACTTGAGGTCTGCATACAGCCGATCGTCAGCGATTGCGAACCTACCAACCCGCGGTATTCACCTCGACCGGACCTTCACAATGGGGAAACGCCTGCGAGTCCCCAATTGCACCCACCTGGACATGGACCGCGTTTTCGGTCAGGAGCAGCACTGCGGCGTCTGCGGGCGCTCGCCATCCATCGGGTTCCTGTACGAGTGCAGACAGGATTGCGAACCCCATCTTCTCCGCACACTACTAGCTAGGGATCAGGATAGCATCGAGCCAGTGAAGTCTGCGTTGCGCCAGGAGTTGGAAAAGATTGGGTTGGGTGAGAGTATCATTATCACAGCGGAGAGCGGACATTACACCGACAAGCAACTGAACAAGCTCAAGGGCCTGAAGCTTGAGCTGCAGCAGGTCATCTCGGACACGCAACAAGCCGCTCAAGCCAGCGATGTCGTCTCTAGACTCACCGCTGCCATGGCTAAGGCGCCATATAGCACCGACGGGGCCTTCAACAGTATGCCTGATATGAACGCAGTGAGTAGTTTCCGATGTATTGAAATTAGCAAACAGACTACTAATCAGCCACAGAAGCCCATGGGATGCAACGTAAGAGCCTGCCACACCTGTCGCCCGTACTATCGAGAACGAATGTACATCCCCTTTCAAGCGGTACTCAACGCAGAGTTCCCGCCCATGACACGAGAAGACATGGAGGAGCTCCCAACCAAATCTGCACACATCATGCGTACCATCGGCACTCGAGTTCAGCCATTGCCATCCTCGACAACTCTAGGCACCTCTCCATCGACATTGCCCAACTCGAATTCCTTCGCTACATCTGCAGGCTCACCACTTACCGCCTCTTCCAACACAACCGATTCAAGCGAAGCGACGTTCAAGACGACGCAAACTGACATGGACGAGATCTCCGCTCAGCGTCGCCCCCGCCGACGGTTCTACAAGATGGGTCGTCGATCGTCCGTGGACATTGCCCGCTCCCTTTCTCGCGGATCCAGTCTCCTCACACCTCAAGGTCTCAAATCCGCCGTCCAGGGTATCTTCCGCCCAAACCGAGAATCCAGCTCCGAAGGCTCTAATATCACGCTCCCACTTCCAAGGACTGGCACAGTTCGCGATAACACGGGTTCTCCGCCTGTAGGCGAGTTCGACCTCGGAGCTTTACGTCGCGTTCGGAAGCAGAAGGAGCGCAATGAGGTCAAGAACGGAACGTATACGGGTGGCTTCGAAAATGTTACCGCACAAGCCACGGCGCCCAGTGACCCAGCGTCAGGAAACAACAGCAGCACCGACTCCGAGTTCTCGGTATACTCATTTACGACTGAAGAGGAAGAGAACGTCGTAGTAGAAGGCGTTGCTATCACGGAAGAAGCAGCTGAGACGCACACACCCGATCTTGTCGCTCTTAACGTCCCTGCTATTCATAAGCTGGAAGCGGTGATCAAGACCGCAGAGGTCGCGACTACTGAGATTGAAGAGGACGCGGATATTGGATTACAAAGCATCATGACGCAGGTGTAAAGAGAACTACAGTCTGAATTCCTGGGGCTGGCACATGGGTGGCCAGTAGAAAAGCGGATAAGGAGTTACGGTTTGATGATTTCATGACAACGGAGAAAGATCATGGTTCAAATGAGAATACGGCTGTTAATAAGGGAGGGAGGCGAACGGAGGAGGAGACTTGCTCACACGTCTCCTTTGATCCCCTCTTCTTGCTCGGATGATGACTAGAATAGTATCATTATCCGTAATTTAAAACTTTGCTACACTTTAATCAGTTGGAAGGATGAACACCCTAGAGCCTACATCAACGCTAGACTTCTCTAATGTGGTTGTTTTGTCCTGGTGTATCCTTCAGATCTTTTCAGCCTTTCTCTTATACGAGGTGGCTAAATACACTTAGTCAAGATTGCAGTTAGTCCAATGCAGGCTGAAAGCGAAAGAAGTTCCAGATTCCTCATGATACCAATAGTTATTTCCATGTGCGGATTTCACAGGGTAATCATGATATTCATCTTTTCGTTCCACACCTATCATACAAGTACAGCGTTTACAATGCCATCCCCAGCCAAGCCTCATCATCCTCATAGTTCTCTATTTACGGCCAAGCTTCCACCTAGCGATCCTCGTCTGTATGTCATCCCAGGTGAACTCTTTCCTCTTGAGCCCCTCCTGCTCACCCTCTTGCAGCACAACAGTCGGTGCTCCAGATCCGCCTCCAATGTTCTTGACCTGACCACCGAAAACGTGACGGGCCACTCTCCTCAGATCTTTCACAGTAACATCCTCAATCTTCTTGCACATCTCCTTGACACCCACTTTGCGGCCGTGAACTTGGACTTGCCTGCCCAGGTCTTCTAGTTCCACCATTCTGCTTTCGAGGTTCATGAGGAGCGAGGAGCGGAGTTGGTTCTTTGCGCGTTGGACTTCGACATCGTTGAGGGCAGAATAGCCGGTTTCGTCGCCGAGGGATTTGAGCTCGCGGCACATGACCTCGAGCATTTGGGTGACGTGTGAGGGGGCGCATGATGATGCGATGCCGAAGAGGCCGCTGTCGGTGTAGCTGTGGTTGAAGGCCACGCAGGATTCTACCCATCCGTGCTGGTTCAGTACGTTGGTGTAGAGACGCGAGTACATTCCCTTTCCTGGGCCACCTGCACTGAAGGAGCCACCACCGCCGAGCAGTGTTTGTAGCGTCGCGAGGGCGTAGATGTCGGGCGAGGAGATGGGGAGGGCTTCAAAGGCGAGGTGAATGTGCGACAGGCGGGGGAGCATGGGGTTTGCTGGTGGTGGGATCGGCGGTAGTGTGAGGAAGCCACCAGTGTACTGTGAGGGTAGCGATGTATTTATCGGCGGGAAGTTGAGGTCGAGTGATGTGTTTACGGAGGCGTTGGAGGTAGCCGATGTGGAGAGGTTCTTGAAGAAGGGTATCTTGGAGAGGAGTTTCGAAGTCTGCGGCGGTGCCCCGGTGGGTGTAGGGTGGTCGGCCGTGAACATTTGCTGCTGCGGTGCGCTGTTAGATGCCGAACTGTTAGAGCCGAGACCGATGAGCGATGGGCCGGTGCCCTTCTCCATGTCGCCAAAGTACTCTTCTGTCAGGCGGACAGCTTCGTTGTGGTTGACACCGGCAAAGGCAACGACTATCCGGTCGGGCTTGAAGAACTCTTTTCGGTATGCCTCGACAACGGCGCGGTTGATGAAGGGCAGGCGCTCCTTGGGACACAACAGAGGGTTGCCCAGGGTGTTGTCCTTGAAGGCTGCCATGTGTACCAGCTCCGGCAAGATCAGCTCTGGCTTGCTCCAGATCTCTCCAATCTCGTAATCGGCCGTCTCGAGCTGTTGCTGTACCTCGTCTTCCGTCACCATTGGATCCCGGATCGTCTCGGCAAGGACACCGACGGTGGAGGGAACGGCAGAGTTGAAAGTGGCAGACTGGTACATGACCGACTCTCGGCTAGACGCGCATTGTATGTTGCCGCCCAGTGTCTCTACCTTCTCCATCATCTGGTCGCCGGAGGTCGAGCGCGTGGACTTGAAGGCCAGCCGGTCGATGATATGGCTGACTCCGCGCAGTGCATCGTTCTCGTACCGCGAGCCGGCGTCGACGTAGACTCCGATACCCGAGAAGTGGCCCGGCAAGGCTTCGGTTGCGACGCGGATGCCATTGGGGAGAGTGGTGATCTGGTCGAGTTCGGCGGGGTCCTGGACAGCAGTTTAGAATGGCTTCGGCTTGCTACGTGAACTCAGTGCTAACCCTCTCTTCAGCGACGGCCGTGGCCAGGCTCCGTCTGCCTGCGCATGGTGCTGACCGTGTGAGCGACGCCGAAGTCTTGGACAGCCCCCGGGATAGCGGTCGGTACGTGTGCGGTCTTAACATTTCTGGCGTGGGTGAGTGCTGCACCCGTCGCGCGTTCCGAAAAATTCCCCATCTTCGGATGACATGATGTCACGTGCGCGGAGACCCAGTGCAGCGGATCCCTTACACCATGAAGGCGGCCCCACACCGCAACGCTGCGATCAGCGCATGAACTCTATCTAACATGGCCATGTCGGTTTGGATGCTCACATATATCCGCGGGGAACTATATTTAGTCGGACAAGCGCCGCCGTGATGCAGACACATGGAGCACGAGGGCGGAGGGGTTTCAGACACCATCTGCCATCTGCCATCTTGTCATGGACCTGGACCTGGACATGGGCATGGGCCTGGCAGCTGTTACCGTCCCGCGTGACGTTCAGCAGTGCATCTGGTAGCGACGGCCGACAAGAGCTGACTTCATCATGTCGACTCTGGAACCCTGTTACCAGTACATGCTAGAGGTCCGTCTTCTTGGTAGTCCCGCATCGCCAGTCTAGAGGCGGCCTGCTCCTCTTCTGGTTTGCTTGGCCCGTCCAGGCCGCCCTGGCCTTGTTCGCGCACCATTGCCAGTGTGCATTTGCATTCATCATTTGCCCCAGTGCCGCAGTGTCTCGGACTCTCCCACCCATGCGTGCTCTTGTAAACGGGCAAACTGCGTCGTCTGTCAAACGCTGTCGAAACTCGCGCATTCACATTCCCGCCCACGCCAGCTTCAGGCCTTAATCCTCGCTCTGCGCCGCTGACGGGGGTGATGTTCACCACAACAACAACCCCAGCCCTCCCTACAGTTGCGACTGCCGTCCCCAATTCGCCCTCGCAGCGACCCACGGGCGTCCACAGAGGTATCAGCTTCCTCCGAAACCTGCACCTGCACTCCGGCAGCCAAGCCGACGCTTCACGTGAGGACTCCCGAACCGGGACACGGCCACGCGCCTCAACACACACTCCACCTGCCTCGCCCGCCTTTGCCTCGTCGTCCCACCAACACACGGCCGCCCGTCCAGATTCACTGTCGAGGAGCCACACGGCCGATACCCACCCCCAGCCTCCCTCCACCGACTCCCCGCCCACTACCCCCAAACCCACCATGACGAGAACCCGTTCCGAGACGGCTCAGCCCCAACTGCAAGTGCGCAACAACACCGGACCCACGCCCACCTCAACACCAGGGCCCGCCACCGCCCAACCCATGGAAGGCGCCACCGAGAGCGCGGGCGCCGTCAAGCACCTCCCCTCGATTCGTTTCATCCCGCATCAGGACCCCCGAGCCGGCAGACCTTCGCTGATATTCCCCACCATCAACCGCACCCTCCCCGACGAGAGCGCGATTCTTCGCGTAGGAAGATACTCGGAGCGCGACAACCTCCCTGAAGTCCAAACCAATGCCCCGTCGGCTGCGGCCATCGGCTTCAAGTCCAAGGTGGTCAGTAGGAAGCACTGCGAGCTGTGGTGCAAGGACGGCAGCTGGTATATCAAAGACGTAAAGAGCTCCTCAGGCACCTTCCTGAACCACATCCGTCTAAGTCAGCCGAACGTCGAGTCAAAGCCCTTCCGCATAAAGGATGGCGACATCATCCAGTTGGGCATCGATTTCCGTGGCGGCGAGGAGATGATCTTCAGATGTGTCAAGATTCGCGTCGAGTGCAACCGCGGCTGGCAGCAGGGACTAAACACCTTCAAGTAAGTTAAGTTGTCTGCGCTGGAAGCCGACCACTAACCCGCATAGCAAACAAACCCATCAACGACTACGCGCACTTGCCAAGAACAAGAAGGAGGTCACGGGAGATAACGCTTCCACACATACGTCTGAATGTGCGATTTGTTTGATGTCCATAGCCGTACGTACTCCCATAGTATCGACACCTAACCGTACTAATCAGTGCACAGCCATGCCAGTCGTTGTTTGTAGCACCCTGCTCCCACGTCTGGCACTACAAGTGTATCCGTCCTATTCTCAATGGACCCACATGGCCCAACTTCCTCTGCCCAAACTGCAGGGCGGTCGCAGATCTGGAAGAGGATGTAGAAGATATGGGCGAGTTCGAGGACTGGGAGGGTGACGAGGAGGTGGTCAACGGTGACACGGCTCCTCACGCCAGCGCGGAGCAGGGCGACCGTCACGTCACTCCCCGTGCCTCTGTCGCCCAGATCAATGGCACCGATTCAGACGGTGGTGTTGATCTGACGGATCTACACCACCAGATCACAAACATCGAGAACCAGACTGTACTAGAGACGCCCGATCGCCGCCTCACGCCACCAACATCGTCGGTCACACAGCCAGTGTCCATCAACGTCAACGGTGCGAATGAGTACGTGGGACTATCGCCTCTGTATCCTGCCGGCAGCAATGGCCTAAGCCCTGATCGCGTACAGGACGGTCCCATGACCCCAAGGAACGACGCCGGCCCTTTTGTGCTCGATGGTAGTGCGGGAAGAACAGCCGGCAGCCGCATGCGCGAGACATCTCCGCCGTCTGACTCCGACAGCAGTGGAGCGCGAAGTAACAGCGGAGCACCGACTCTACCTCCGGTGCGATTTGATTAGCCGATCCGCAAACTGAGCGTGTTGCATCTTTCAACTTCTTTCTCTTGGAAACCTCTCCTTTCGGGCTCAGTTGCATATTTCCGGGCGTTATGGCGTGTACAAAGCGATTGTTATGATCTCCATGTAGGTCTGGGTGGGGGGATCATGTTGCAATGTGTTATAGTTCAAGAGTAAGCAAGACATACAGGAGGGCGGAAGAACGGTAGCTAATGTATTGTAACAAAGTCAACCAAATCTTCGCGCTTGCAGTTTTCTTTCCGTGTAGGACACATTCGTTTGGCCATTGTGCTTCTGGGGTATCTACGCTATGGAAACTCGTAAAGACCAAAACAAACATTAGTTCGTGGCTGACCCTCTCGTTATCTCGTCGTACTCCATCTCTTTCTTCAGACCCAGTCGTTGCATTTTCACTCGCAAAACGACTCACACTCAAACATACCCCCCATAGCCCTCCCCTCGTGACTCGCCCTCCACTCCTCCAACAACACCATGACCTCCTGTCGCGTATCCTCAATGATCCCATCCATCTTGATATCATTCTTATCATACCCAAACGGATCCTCTAACTGCACGCCGATACCCTCAATACCGTAGAGCGTGAACGCAATGATAGCCACAATGGGCACACTCCACCACCTGTAATCATCGACAATGGCAAAAGGAAGGACACATGCATACAGCGCCAGGACCTGCTTCTGGTGGATCAGATGCGCGACAGGGATGGGCGTGCTGTGAATAGTCTCCATAGTGCCGTAAGCAGAAACGAGAGTATTTAGCTGAACAGTCATCTGTGAAGAAAGAGGTGCGTGGAACCAGCCTCTATCGTGGCCGCGGCGGATGTAGCCTTCCAGTAGAATCGTGAGTTGTAAGGGCAAGCCAAGACCTTGATCCTCGTAACCCATCAAGCCTTCCGGGAGGAGCGACACGTATTCGTCCTTCTTCATAGGTGTTGTGCCATCGCCGTTCTCGAGGGTGGCAGTCGATCCGCCGAGAAGCGGGGTTGTGCTTGTGCTGTTGTTTGTGAGAATGGGGGGATAGAACGGGCCGAAACTACCAGTGCGGTCGATATAGCTGGGGCGTCTGGAAACAGGGCGGGAGCGGTTTGGATAAACGCTTGGTTGAGGAGGCAAGGTAGCTAGACTGGCGGGTGGGATGTTGAACTCCGCGCGGAGGTTGTGTTTGATCGAGTACAAGACGGCTACTAGGACTCGGACTATATTCTCTGTATCCCTTCTTTCCTCTTCCGTTGCATGGCCATCTTTGTCGCGGGAATTGACGAGACAGATCCGAGCGAGGTTGCGGACGCAGGTTCCGATTGTGGTGAGGCAGTTGCGGCCTGTCCAGAAGCGGTCGTAGCCGGTGCTATTGCGGAAGACTAGCATCAGACCGACTACTATGGAGAGCGAGGGTATGATGGTCGCGGGGATGGATATGCTGTCCACATAGCGGGTATCGATGTAGACGATCAGGACGGTGAAGAGCGAGTGGAGGAGCACGGGTATGAGGATAATGTCGTGTACAGCGCCCTTTGAGAAGCGGAGGACGAGAGGAAGACGACGGGGTTTACGGCGGAAAGCGTGAGCGAGAGGGTAGGTTGGACGACGCGTGGGGATCTCTGGTGTCGACATTTTTGCGGCGGTGGAGGTGAGAGCGAAAGCGATGGTATTCAACGCGACCAGGCGGTGTATAAGAAGGTGGAGAGAGAGCCCGCTCTCGTATCTTCTCCCCGCGATAGATGAGGCGGTATGAGTGGGGACGGTATGGGGAAGACGACGAGGTGGCAGGGATCCGCGCCGTGGGCCGAGTCGAAGCTTTCTATACGAAACCCAAATGGCATAGAACAAAGTCCATGACGACTAGCCTTCGCCACGGGATTCTGCGACCATGGCTCACGAGACCTCACGCGATCGGTGATGTGAAGCTAGTGGTTGAGCTCCTCAGGGTCCATCTCCCGTCACATGTGAATGAAGACGGACGGGTCGTCGCCAAACGTGGGCTCCACGTGCGGGCCGATGACGCGATAAGCAACTTCCCGAGCAAACCTCGGTCAACACGCGGGTGGTGTCATATTTTCTCTACGCGCGACATCAACAACACCATGCAGGCTCGATAGCACCGACACTCCTTTCTGCTCGCCTCCAAGACTCCCTTGAGCGTCTACCCTAATACCCACTTTCTCAACATGGAGGACTCGCATCCGGACTCCACTACCATCCCTTCCTCTACCAGCACAAAACAGCCAACTCCACAACCCGATGCGAAACCTACACCCACACCACCGTCGCGATTGACAACGATACAAAAATTGCGCTTCCTCCTCCTAAGATACCTCGCCAGAACCGCTGGCACCGCAGACCGCACGCTCGTCCGCCTCTCCAAACTCCTCTCCACACCCAGCGGCACCGACGTCCTCCTCTGCACAACATCCTACACCCTAACCCTCATCCATGCCGTCCTCTCCCGCGTCCTCGAACGCCGCCTCGCATCCATCGCCACAGAAATCGCCGAGAAAGCAGAGGGTGTCCTGCTCCCTGGCGAAACGCTCATAGCCAGCCTCCCAGCGCCCACGAGCACAAAGGTCATCGCACAAGTAGTTGGGAGTTCAAAAGCGCTTGCGGCTGTCATATCCGATTTCCGCATCTTTGTAAGATTATGGGGTGTGCTGGGCTTGTATACTTGGGCGCGGGATACATATCAAGACCGGTTGCCGGAAGATGCGAGTAGGAAAGAGAAGATATTGAGAGGGCTGACGTGGACGGCTATCATGTCCTGTATTGGTTTCCAGGTCCTGGAAAACGGCGCGTACCTGAGCTCAAAGGGTGCGTTGACGACGGCGAGTTGGACGGGCGATGTGGGTAAAGCACGGGAGAATGCGTGGTGGCTGTGGAGTTCGAGGTTTTGGGCTGCGTATGTGGGTGTTGAGCTGGTTCGTTTGGGTGTTCAGCAGTATTACGCCTCGTCATCTGAGTCGATATCGGCGAGCTCGGGTGATGGGGAGAAGGAGGATAAGATCCAGAGGGAAGAAAGGATCAAAGCTAGGAAATTGGAGAACTGGCTGTGGTGGAAGGATCTGGCGTCTAATCTGGCATATGCGCCCATGACTGTTCACTGGTCGCTAGAGCAGGGCTTGTTAAGTGATTGGGGTGTTGGTGCTTGTGGTATGGTTGCTGGTGGGGCACTGTTGGCTGACGCGTGGAGGAAGACTGCATGAGCATGTGGCAGGCTCCATCAAGGGGGATAGCACCGCACCGTATTCCTCAAACTCACACATTTCCTACCGCGAACCATCACATGGCCAGTCAATCACGGTTGGGTTAAAAGGTTCGATTGTTCTAAGTACGCTTCCGTCTCGTGTTGAACAGACGTTCAGACGTACAGAGACAGATCTACAAAGAGCGGGGTGAGATAAATCGGAAGAAAGGGAATGGTAATGACTGTCCAAACATCCACGCTGTTGCCAGCTCCGTCTACGCCTCATCCATCACTCTGTCCAACAGATGCCATAATCTAGCAAGTAACCTTGTAGCTCACTTTGCCATCAACATTCTTGCATGACTGATTGTAGTTGGGCTCTTTCTTGTACACAGTAAAGTCACCAGTGCACCTGTCTCCAGAGTAAAGGTTCACTATACATGCGTCATTAGCGCCACGATCGCAAGTCCGAGAATGCCGAGGGCCGTAGACTTACCTTGGCAGTTGCCCTCCAAGTAGTTGACTCTGATGCTCGCAGCATTGGGTAGGTCACCGCATACGTCCTTGTTAACCGTGGGGTAGTGGTTAAGGCGTCCTGGTTCGCCACTGCCCATGCAGCCTCGGACGTCCCAGGTGTCGAAGTCGGCCTGGAAGGCACTCACGCTGGCGCTCATGACAGCGAAAGCGGACAAGGTGGTAATAGCGGTGGAGAAATGCATCTTGAAGTGTTAGACTGGAAGGTTTGATGGTTCGAAAGAGTTGTAATGTAGTGGATATGGGAGTGGGAGAAGATGTGTTGTGAGCTGTTTGGGTGTGTCTCTTCATAGACTTTATACATCTTTTCACATGTATAGCCTTTCTCATCAGATACAATGCTGCCTTCACTGATCGGACGTAAGATTTTGTTGGTTTCATGCCCTTTTGCCTGCTACGGTCACTTCGTCAGATGTGGGTGATCATCGTGTCAGTTGCTGTTGCGACGACATGGTATCAAGTGGGACTTAAGAGGGAACTATAGACCTCATGATGTTGGCGATGAGGTGTCATGGTGCACGTTGAGCTGATATTATGTTGTTGGCTGGGCGGTTACACAGTCAGGACCTCAGGACCCTTGACGCAGTAAGCGCGCGTATCCAATAGCTTGATTTGAGCAAGGTTTAATACGGAGTGATATAGCTCGATATGATCATGCGCTTCGCATAGCCTTCCCTCCTCTGAACGTGCGCAGTGGACGATTGCTGGTTTCGGACAGCTTGGGACTGTTGTCGGTGAAGGCATCGAAGATGAACACCGTTATTACTAAAGACATTACTGAAATAGACACACAAGCGTCTTTCTACTCTGATTCAGAATCATGTTCCGATGATGACTCGCCACTGGGACTCTCAGTCCTGCTTCTCTTCGCAGAGCGTGGCTCGTGAGGATCTGTTCTACAGCCCTTAGCATCACCATACCCCTTGCAACAACTCCAGACGAAACCTTCAGGATACTCCTCACGCATTTCTTCGGTATCGATCACTCCGTGGCAGTTTTCATCATGATCGGTCCAAAAGTCCTCATCGTTGTAAATTTCCAACTCTCCTTGTAAAGACGTGAGTAAGAGGTTCACACATCGTAAAGCTCGGAGACTTCTTACCTGGATGCCATACAAATTGTTCTTCCTCTAGTATATCAAACTCTTTTTCACACTGCTCGCAAATGTCGTAGCGGCGACCGCGCTTCTGAGCTCTTGGTAGCTTGAAAGCGGAATTGTCTGCAAGCGGCCCATCAAGAAGCGATACGGCTGGACGCCCTGCCTGTTCTTCCTTGACAAACAACTTATCGTGTGCTAGCTTAAAAGCTTCTGGCGACTCGTTGCATATTTCGAGCAGGACAGTTCGTAAGCGCTTGTGGGTCGAGGTTTCAATGACTTCTTCCAACTCTTGTCGCGCGGGGTCTTCATTTGTGACGCGTGACATTGTGTTTCTCAAGTGTGATGACGGGTGAGATGAGTTCGTTGAGGAACATGCTACGCGTCCTTCAAGAAAGTTCGCGACAGGAAGATTGCGGGTTGAGCGGCTCACTAGTACAAACACGAGATAGCGTGCCTTCCGGACGCGCTACCACGTGAAAGCACGCCACACTTCGATCTGAAGTCGAAGTTGAACTCATCACGATTCAACAAGAAGCTTGAAGATGTATTCAATTGTTTTAAAAAAGGTATATACATGAATAACCTACCTCCACCATATCCAACACTGGTGTGCGGGTGCAAAGTTCTTTGGGAGGCACATCGATCCTTCGTTACAACTCGCCGATGCACTGCACTCTTGGACCGTGCAAACTGTTCACCCTCAGATGCCGCCAACGACCCTCTGATGATCTTGACGATCAGTCCCTCACAGCAAGTTTACCATCCGGAGCAAGCAACAAACGCATTGCCACTGGCACCAGTGTGTGTAATCTCTCCCGCACGCTGTCCAGCAGTGTTGAAGATGACACGATCAGCACCTGGAGAGCCTAAACACCTCAGTCAGCATGCATACTCTAGTCGACCTCGTTGATCATGAACACGGATATGACTTACCACCAGTGTAAGCACCCGAAGTCCTCAGCGGGAACTCCTCATACGGGCCCGAAACCAAAAAGTCAAAGCCCTCATAGTTGTTATACCGATGAGGGTAAGTCGAGCTACCAGCTTCATCTCCGGCCTGGTAGAGCTTGTAACCCGCGCTGCGTGCAGCAGAGACTTGGGATGAAGTGTAGCATGTTGAGCCGCACTTGACGTAGCAAGATTGTCTGGACTCGACGGCAGCAATCTCAACGGGTGCCTCTTCGGAGACCGAAGTGGGGAGAGCGAGGGCAATGGGCGCAATGAAGAGGAGGATGTTGGTGAGGAACTTCATGTTGGCGGCTGGGAAAGTATGAGACGACGAGCGAGTGTCTTGTCGGGAGTTGTGTAACGAGGGATCGGTGGGGCTGGTAGACCTGTCTTCCAAACAAAGGGTGCTACATGGTAGCTTTATACTGTCTTACTACCTGTCACCCCAGTGTAGTCTAATGGTAGTCCAGCGGTCGCCTCCGAACCATCTCAACCCTAAAGTGGAAGATCATACTCGAAAGCAATTAAACCCGGACACAGAGGACCTTAGCACCTTTCCGGAAGGAACAATTGCTCCGCGAAGCCATGCAGTGGAGGCTCTCTCAAGCTGGGGTAGGGGAACCTATCACAGACTACTACTCCAAGCGTGGCACCTACAACACCATACTAAGCGCAGACCCTCGGTCCTTTCATACATCCACCACCCTCTCACGTTACCCCTCCCCATTCGTTCACATTCAATATCATGCATGAATTCCCGCTACCAAGACAACCGGAGCATCAACATCCCCAGCACCATCCCATGCACTCAGGACATGCGACTTCCGCCGATCAGGAAGGTACGGACAACGATTCGCCGGTTATCTCCCGGAACTAAGATGATGTGTTTCAAGCTGCTTATCGCCGGAGATCTGGCGGTGGTGCACATGTGCGTGTTCGATAGGCTGAGTGCGGTTAGGGATCGACAGGGAAACGCGGCAGCTAACGCTGGATCTGGAAGGTGGGCCTGGGCATTGGGTGTAGGAGGCATGTAGACTAGGAGATCGACCTCCACGACGGTAAGTGCGGATGGTAGTAGAAGCGAGCGCAGCGATGCCGGCGGCTAGGGAGAGGTGTCGATTACTGAGCGAAATGTGCCGGATGCGGTCTTGACCGTTGTTCGGTACTAAAGATAAGCAACCCGCCCAAAATGCACTCACTGACCGAGCGCGAAGATGGGTAGAACATGATACAATCTTCGCAATAGATAGAACACGATAACAATATCATTATTGTACACTGTAAGCCTGCCTTCCGCGGCTATGTAAAGTATGTGCTGAGATCCAAACCAGCTGGCAATGTGCATAGCCTAAGCAATATAAGCATACAATCCGTCATCTTCTCTTTCTAAGAATTCCTTCTCGATCAAGCGATCAATGTTTCTCTTGATACCGCTGACCTCCAGTGTTCCTCTGTTCCTCGTCGCTGAGATGGTCTCGCTGACCAGTTCCGCGTGGCTAATCCTCTTCCTCGCCTTGAGGATCCTTACAATGGCAGCTTGCGTCTCGTAGTTGCGATCAGCAGCGACACGCTCGTGCGTCTCCTTGTTCTCGGCTGCTGTTTCCTTGAGCTGGACGGTGTTGACCTTGATACGATACTTGGGGTCTGTGAATGAGGCGTTGAGTGTGAAGGTGTCAGTTTCGTTGATCTCTCGGCCTTTGGGGTGCTTGGTCAATGGCCGGACTTTCGCGCAGGCTAGGGATTGTAAAGTGCGGTTAAGCTCGGCCGGTGCTGTCAGATGTTAGTAATGCCACATAATACATGTAGTGCGCGACTTACGTAGTCCAGTGGCTTGCTTGAGATACTCGTAGTCAATGTGCTCATCATCCGCTCGGCCGTTGAAGAGCAAAAGAACGATAGCCTGGAAGGACGACACCACCAACTCCTTGAGTCCCTTGGGAAACCTGGCTTTGATCTGGCAATGGGCGAGCGCGTGCTTGAATTCCAGCTTGCGTCCAGAATGCTTGACTTTGTAGTGTGCTTCAAACTTGTTGATCGCAGACTGGATCTGCGGAGGTAGAATTACAGGGACTGTGGGGTACGTAGGCCAAGCTGACGCAGAAAGGACGTTGACGTTGAGATCCAGGCTGAGCTTTTCGTTGCGTTCCTCACTAATATTCTTGTACGAACTCATCTCTTCTCGTGACAGTTCGATGTCGCGGAACATCTGCTCGAGGTTGGCGGTGAAGCCGGCACCACATTCTGCAGTACGTTAGTATCTCAGCAAGTCGCAAATAGGTACACACTTACCAATCTTAAGTCTCGACAGCATGCTCCTCTCAGCGTCTGCACTCGCACTTCGGCCCATCAACAATCGTCTGGCCAGATCTTTCTTGTAGAAAGCTTCAAACACAGCCTTGCCGTGCAAGAAGCGGAACAAATCGAGAACCTGATCGAGC